AGGGGCGGGGGAGGTGGCTGGGACTGGGGTGTTTGGGTTTGAGGTGGAGCCAAGCGAAGAAGCGACCTCGTGCTCGAAAAGCTCGGAGCCCTCTGGAGCCGAGAGTCCGCTCTGGCCTTGGAGTCCAGCCTGGGGAGGTCGGCCTGGTGTATTTCAGGAGAAGGCCCCTACGGCTCTGCATCACCATCGCCTGGGAAGTCTCCCTTGCACGGGGGGACCTGCAAGGGCTTAGGTCTGTTCCACAGCACGTACGGGCTGGGTCTCCGCCCGGGGATGACTGTCCGTGACCCCGTCTTTTCGGGGGGTTGTTGGATGTAAAAGGCTGCTGCCAGCTGGGAAAGGGGCGCAGGAATCCAGACCCACCCATGCATGGGGGTGTCCCCGACCACATTGCCCCAGGGACAAACAGAGCTGGAGCTGGAGGCAGAGCTGGGCAGGAGCGCCCCCTGCTGCCCAAGGGTGGCTGTGCGCTCTCCGGGCTGGCTCCTTTTGGCAAGGCCCCGGCGCAGCGAGATGGGCCCTGCCGTGCCACAGGGCTGGGAGCAGGGCAGGAGGCTGGTCGCTGCGGGGAAAAGCCCCAGTGGGCGTTCAGAGCCGGGGACGCAGCTCTGTTCCCCAGGCCCCGGAGCAGCCGAGTCGAGAGAACGCAAGAATCCGACTGCTCCAGCAAACCGAGAACTTCACCCCAAGAGCTGCTCCCGGGGTGGGGAAGGATTCTCCCTCGTCCCCCGGCCTCGCACAGGCAGTGCCTTCCCTGCCCCCTTCCTGCTCACGAGCAGGGCTCCGTCCCCAGGAACCCGACCCATGCAGCCCTGCTCCACAGCCCACCTCCTGCCCCCTCCGCATCCCAGCCACTACCGCCGCCTGCGTTCTGCACCCCCCTCCGCTCTGCACCCCTGGCCAGGCCCCGCACCCCAGGGGAAGGGCTGGGCTTTCCTGGCTGGGCTCTTTCTACTCCAGGGCTCGTCTTGCTCCCTCCATGGGTAGCCAGCGCTGCTCCATCGCCCCTCCCCGGGCAGAGCACGTGAGTCCAGGGACCTGCGGGAGCACCTCTCCTGCGTCCCCATCAGAGGGGCCCTGTGCTCTGCCCTCAAAGAACAGGGTGGCCAGGGCTGAGCTGGGTGTACGGAGGTTGGAACGGGACCGGGGGGGGGCTGAGCTGGCCGTTGGGAGAGCTGGCCAGGCTGGATGTATGGAAGCCAGACCGGGCCAGGCCCAGCTGGGTGTCAGAAGGCCAGGCAAGGCCAACCTGGGCATCCCTACAGCCCTGCCCCTGCCTAGAGCTCACCCTGATCTCCCAACCCAGTCCCCCTGCTCCTTCGGGCGGCCGCGTGTCCTTGGCCTCGCCCCGCATCGCATCTCTGGCCCGCGCCGTCACCATAGCTGCCAAGCCGACCGGGCCACAGTGACACCCCGTCTGTCCCAGGCCAGAGAAACGTCCCAGGGCAGAACTTTCATCCAGCCCTGAGTTCAGAAAGCGTCCGTGACGGAGCATCCGCCGTGGCCTGGGGATGTTCCCGGGGCGACTTTCTACCAGGCAGAAGTTTCCACCTTGTTTCCAGGGCCAATTTGCCTGGCTCCAACCGCAGCCGTGGGGTTGTGTTAGGCCCCGGGGGGCTGCTGCCCGTGGGTTTGCGGGGCTCTCAGAGGGCTGGGCGGGAAGTGCGGGGCTCCGGTGCGCGGGAGGCCTGGTGGAAAGGGGCAGAGAGCGGGTGCGTGGCTGCCGGTGGATCCCCAGGGACTGCAGGTTGCCCACCACTGTGGCCCACTGAGGCGAAGGAGGGCCCCTCGTGTCCCGCTCACCAGCCTTGTGTGACGGCGCGTTGGGGGTCCCCCGTCTCCTGCACCCCGAAATGGCACAAACAGACTGCACCAGCCGGTGGAATAGAGGAAGTTTATTGCCTCTCCAGGATACAGCACAGCACAGATGTAATCTGGTCACAGAGCTGGGCTAGGATGCCTCAGGCCCCCTTGAGATGGGGGGAGACTGGGCCCCTAAACTCCAGCCCCTCTCCCTAGGCTGTCTCCTCCATGCTCCCAGACAGCAACTAACCCACACTCTTCCAGCCCTGCCCCCCCAGCCAGGGCAGCATCCACCTCCCTTTGTCCCTCTCCATGGAGGGTGTCTGGCCATACCGGTTGAGAGGTCCCTTTGCATAGTGACTCATCCTGTTTTGCTGGGTCGTGGTACCCACGGCAGCCAGTGGGGGTTACCCCAGAGCCAGCAGCATAGAAACCAGCCAGGTACCCCCACTACGTCACACCTTGGTTGCCCATCGCTGCGTTAGACCTTCCTCTGCGTG